GCTGGTTCTCAGAGAAGAAATTCTGTTAAAAGATCAGTTCATACTAAAACTAGTTCTTTAAGAATTAGGCCCTCCTCCTTAAATGGTTTTGCTAGTACTAAGTCCAGGTCTTCAATGAGAAGGTCTTTACGTTCTGGACAAAGATCTTTATCACTTAGAACTTCTCGTAACAGACCATAACAAATTTAAAGATCCCAAAAGAAGTAAGATATTTCTTTTTGGTTTTTTTTTAATAATTCATTCTTGAATTTTTTTAGTTATTAAGATTCGTTATGATAAAGTGATGAATCAAAAAATAATCTTGAAAATAAACAATCTTAAAAATGAAATGGAAGTTAAATATCAACTAATTAAACATCTTAATAAAAAGTATTTAATTCAAATGATTATACTTGAAAAAGAAATTGTTGTGGTCATACAGTATAAAAACAGTAATGAATTAAATGGATTGTCTCTATCTCAAAAAACAATTGGTCAATTACCAAGTACAACACAACTCTATGGAGATGTTTTAGATTCAGACTCTCAATCATTATCACAGCTATTTTCTATGAAATTAAAAAAAAGAGTGACTGTTTCATGTAATGTTACATTTGATATGTTTGATGATTCAAAAGCTTTTATCTCTTCACAAGTACTTCATCTTCTTTCTTGAACAGTTAAAGAAGGGTCATTTTGAGTTGATAAGTAGATCGTATCTTAAATATTCTTTTTGTTTTTGTCTTGTTATAGAAAAACTATTCATTTTCACAAATAAAAGAACTTCGTTTTTCATTATTTATAAAAACACAGAAGTGGGTTAAAGATAATACCTTAAAATTATGTTGTGTTGGTTGTCAAAGAAGATGAACCTAATCTAAAGTTGTACTTAATTCCAAAATAAAAATTTATTTTACCACAAAAAACGATTTTCATTTTTTTGTTGTTTTTATATCTTTCATCATTTCAAAAAAGTGTAGGTATAACTTACCTTAAGAAGTTAATAAAAAATAATCCAGGATAACAGTCGTCAATAACATTCCTTATATTTGACTTAAATTTTGTTTTATAAATTAATGTGTTATGTAAAACTATTAAATGTAATTGTAAATTATTTATTATTTGTAGAGTAATGGCAGTTATTAATATCTCTTTTCTAGGAAAGGTTTAACTCATTACCTCTACCTCATTTTAATAAATACAAAATAACGAAGATAGTAAGTATTTTTTGTGATTTAAAGAAATTTTTAAATGTTATTGTATTATAATAATTTAAATTTCAGAACCTTCAACAGTACACCCAAATAAAATACCTTCTTTTTTTTTAACTAAGTTTAGGGTATGGTATAAAATATATAATATTATACAGAGAGATGATTAATATGAAGATACAGATCTAATAAAAAATGAACTGAGAAAATTATAGTTATGGCAGATGATGGATTAACACCAGAACAAGAACAGGCAATTGAAAAATATTCAAAAATGTTGGAAACGATTAAATATAATACAAAGAGTAATAGTAGTATAGAAGTTGAATCACGTATAGGAATATTTGATACTGACCATAAATTTATTTCTGGAGTGAAGCAAGAAGAATTTTATATAGTACTAAACTATATGCAACAACTTAATTTAACATATAAAAAATCACATGAAATTGAAAAAATATATCACACGGGAGAAAGGGAGAATTTGAGGTATGTAACTGGTAAAGATGGAGAGTTTATTCGATTAGAACTAAAAGAAAAAAGTAAAACTGAAGAACTTCAACTTGGTAGTTCTTTTGATTATTCATTAAGAATTCAAGTGTCAAGAGAGAGTAGATTAAATTTAGAAGAATATGGAGAATTGAGGGGGGAATATATTACACGTGAGAAGTCTAGAACAGAATTTGTATGGATTCCAGAAATTGTTATTGATTTTACACATGCTTATCAAGTAGATGGAAGAAATAAAGGAAAAGAATCATTTGAAATAGAATTTGAATTTAAGTCAGAAGAAATAAAAAAAATACTTGACAATAGAGCAGATATTAGAAACGTTATTAAAGAGTATATGTATTGTGTAAATAGAATATATAATCTTCTTAAACGTTCACATGGAAATTATTTTGGTGATATAGAACAAAAACAAGAACATAAATTAACTAACGTTTTAGGGAGATTAATTTGTGACTCAATTGAAGGTGCTGAAGGAAGTGTTAATAATTTTCCAGGAGCGATGCCAGTTAATTTTGGAAGAACATCATTTGATATTATTCAAAAGAATGCGTATATTGTTAGTGAAAAAACTGACGGTGTTCGTCATTTTGTACTTGTTACAGAACATAAAGTTTATTTAGTCACTAGGAAAATGGAATTTTTTATAGTTGATTTCCCAGAAATGGTTAAAGCATATGGTGAAAATGGAGTAAGTTTATTTGATGGGGAAATTGTAAGGAATATAAGAACAGTAAGACCAGTTTTAATGTTATTTGATGCAATTATTGTTGATGGTATAAATATATCGAAAAAGAAATATTCAGAAAGGATTCAAAAAATTGAAGAAATAGTAGAAAGAGTTGATAATAATGAAATACAAGCAAAGAATAGACCATTTGATATTATTATTAAAAAATTTTATACAAAAGAAGAAATTAGTTCTATATTTAAATTAATTTGTTTTTCACATGAAATTGGGAGTTATATCATACAAGACGATATTAGATGTCATAGATCAGATGGTATTATTTTTGCGCCAGATATTGAGTATCAACCATTTGCTAATAGCGGATTATTTAAATGGAAATATATGACACATTGGACAATTGATTATGGAATAACCACTTCAGAAAATGGAGATGATACATTTTATTGTAGTGATGGTAGAAAAGAAGTGTTATTAAGAAAAGTTAATTTCAGTAAAGAAGATTTAAAACATTTTGAAAACGATAAGGCTATTTATCGGTGGAATGGAAATGGAGTTGTTGAAACTTCTTTAGACGTTTGGAGTGGACAATGGAAGTATCACATTTATAGATATGATAAACCAAAACCAAATAATATCTCTGTATGTATTGATACATTAGAGGCAATGGCTTGTAATATTTCTAGAGAAGAATTAATTTACAGATGTTCAGTAAAACCAGAAGATGACCATTGGGAAACAGCATATAGAGAACAGCTTTATATTGAAGGAAAAAAATTATTTGAAGCATATACACGACCTAAACAAGATAATACAAATAATTAGAAGTTACACTGTTATAATGAAGTTTTAATAAGAACCTCATTTTTAAATTATTTCATAATTCTAATTATATATTTTTTAGAATTATTTTTAATAAAATCATAAAAAAAAAAAGAAATTATTAAAAAAAATTGTGTTGATTAATCTTCAACAATGCAAAATATCATTCCATTATAAAAATAAATTGTTTTTTATTTGTATTATTTACAAAAACTGAGTTAGTTAATAAGTTATATAGTTTTATATAGAAAATATTGTGGAGATGGATTATGGGATCATTTTAATGAAGAAGTGGCGGAGAATTTGGTGTTGTTTAAGATGTATTTGTGAAGATGGAAAAGGGAATTGTGTTATGTTGTGTATTTATGGAAAATCATGTTTAAATGGATGTAATAAACCAGATTTTTGTGATTGTTGTGATACGATCATTGGATATAATGAATATTGTAGTGGATGTAAAGATGGGTATATGTGTTATAGAAAAAAGACAATAGAAAATATAGTAATAAAAATATTGTGTCAAGTAGTGAATTTTTTTAAAGAATACAACTTTAAAATATTACTTCATTTTCACTTCTTTTAAATGGAAATAAAAGAATCTGAAGAATGGTAAGAAAGGTGTTATCTATCAACTTAAAGATGTAAAATTAGAATATAGTTCTTGTTCTTATAATGTTAAAGAAAAAAACCTATATATTTATAGTATTTGGATTAGTCTTATCAATAATTAAAGAATGGGTTCATATTGAAATTGATAAAAAATATTATAAGCAAGATAATGAGGTCATAAATTTATTCAAATTGGAATAGATAATGGATTTGCTTTTTCTTCACAATACATATATGTAAAAATGTAGTTTCTCTCATTCATTCTGTTGAATGTAGTCATTGAATAAGGGAATAGGTAATGATATTCATTGTCCAAAATTAAGTTTATTAATGATGAAAATATTCTACAATATCTTTTTTTTCTTCATTCAAGACTTACTATATCTATATTATCTGATATTTCAATAATTTTAGTCAATTAGTTCATATTTATTCATCAATATATCAAAATGTAAATTAGAATAGATTATCTAAATTAAATATAATTATGTCAGTTGATATAAAATACTCTTTGTAATCACAACCAATTCGTATACAAGATAAAATTTAATGATTTTAGTTTAGAATAGATGGTATTGATCAAACAATTGAAATTTTTTACTTGTAAATCAAAACAAAGTAATGTCATTTTTTTGGTATTATTTCTATTAATTCAATAAAACATGATATTAGTGATACTTTTGATATAGTTTTATTGGTTTAATTCAAATGAATTTAATATCTGAAAAAGTAAGTAATAGTTGTCATGACAATTCTGGATCTGCAAGAGTCACTGTTACGTTGAATCATAATAAAGCTGATTTGTTGAATCTTATGAACATAATTTCGACCATAAATTTAACAAAAAAAAAAATGACATGCACAGGAATATGTATATGTTCAGTTTATTCTGGGAATGTGATGTTTAGATAATTGTGTATCAATTAATAAGATTTATACATTATATGGAAATTGAAAATAAATTTATGGTGAAGGTTGTAATTTTTCAGTTAAAGGATATGAAGATAGTCAATATACTTCAACTTGTAATTATGTTATGGACCATAACCAGTTAATATAATTGGTATAATAAAATGTGATGTTACAATATGTAATAATGGAAAATAGATGCTGATGAAGGATCTAATGGAGGGTATGAATTTAATCATTGTGTATAAGTAAATAGAACAAAAAATATGTTAAAGAAAGAATTGATTGTATTTTAGAAACATGTAGAATAAAAATAAGATAAAGGAATGGTAAATTGAATGTGAACGTCAAAATAATTAGGTACAAATAAAAGAGTAGATCGTTCAAGAATTTCATCATAAGAAGAAGAATATTATATTTAATAATAGGATTTATAATATTTATTATTTTATATTGTATATTTTATATTGTTGTTTTATGCTTACATGTTGGTATGACAAAAAATAAACAAAAAGTAGAGAACAAAAATCAAACATGGTTGAAAATATGATAATTCTATTTGATGAAAAGAATTCTCAATTATTGATATACAATAAAATAATCCATATTTTGCATTTTCTACAACTTGAATAGATTTTAATATAAAAAAGAAAGAAGAAATGGAAAAATTTGGTATTAAAATTAAAAATAATAGGAAATATCCTCTTCATTTTTCTTTTCATTCAGGATATATCAAAAATATAAAATTGGTTGTCAACCAGTTATTAGAAATATTAACCATTTGAAAGTATAATATTAACAACTTCTTTAAGAATGAAATGTACTACAATATTAAATGAAAAAAAAATTACAATTAAACTTAAACCATGAGCAATATTATTAAAGATATTAGAAGAATCCTTTATACTGAAAAAATTCAAATACAGTAAGATTGATATTGATGATAATTGTTTTTTTAAGGTATAATAGAAAAGGTATAGGACAAATTCTTGAACAAAGACTAAATTTAAAGATATAATATTTTATTGAAATTTTTAGAAAATTTCAACTAAAAACACCCACTCCTCAAATAATAAATGGAATAATAACACAAAATAATTCAATTCTTTCTTCAGATTATTAGAAATTAATTTGTTTTATATATTTAATTCTTCAGTATTAATAATAAATAAAACAAAATAAAAGTGTAAAATTATTCAGATGGTGCTTCAAGACTGTTTTTAATTTCTTCTGCCATCCTATACTTTTCAGCAAAAGACATAGATGCCACAGAAGCTCCTCTGTCTTTCCATCTTCCTATAAATAGAATTAGTATAAATAATAAATAAATAATAAAAATATTAGGAAATAAACAATTTAACAAACGTGTTTTCATAGAACCTGCATTGAAAGTATTGAATTTATTTTGAATCAAATTTCTAGCCATTTCAGCTTTTTCCATTGCAGCTGTTTTGGCTCTTGCTTCGAATTGTTGTTGTTTAATTTTTTCTTTTTCTATAGCATTACTTAAGTATTCATACCATTTTTCTTTTTCTTCAATACTAATAAATGAAAATATAAATTTTTGTTTAGAAATCATAAGGACAAGACACATTTCTACTTGAATTCCTTTTGCTTCAATCTCATTTTCTTTTACTTCAGCAAAAGACATATCAAGTAATTTTAGTGTATTGTTAAAACATAATTTCTTCTTTTGAGTTTTAGTGAATACTCCTTTTTCAATATATTCACAAACCATTAACAAATCATTAAATAAAATTAATGCCATTGGTTTAGCATTTTTCTTTTTAATTTCTAATGCTTTTCCTTCAGCAAGTAATTCTCTAGAACCATTATTAATTTTAAAATCTTCAGGAAGGTTAGTAATACTCATTTGATATTCTTTCATTTTCTCAAACATCTCTCTTTTTTTTGTATTATTATTTACAGTAATAGTAACTTCAGTAATAAGTTTTAATGCTTGTTTAACATTTTCATGATCAGGATGACATGCAGGAGTATATTTAAGAAGGTCTGCTAAAAGAAGTTTATAACGAGGAAGTCGTTGAACTGGTGTAATTAAAAATGCTGAAATTTTAAACTTTTTATATTGAGGAGAAGCATTGTCAAAAACTTGTTTTGAATACCAAGAAATAAAAGGATGATGCTCTGCTTCCATTTGACGAATAAGAATATCAGATTCATGATAATTCATACAATAATCTGCATACATTTTAAATAAAGGTCCCATTTGATTAAAGATTTGACCAATTAAGACATTTGCATAATCTTGACATTCAAAACTCTTAATTAACTTTAAGAATTGTTCATTAACTGAATATATTGTTGTAATATCACTAAAAATTAATTTAATTTGTTCTGAACTTAAAATTGATTCTTTCTTAATTGGATTAAGTACAAATTTAATTACAGTATTTAATTGTTCAATATAACTTTCTTCTGTTGAAATAATTTCTTTAATTGTATTTGCTCGTTTATTCATTTGTGTGTTAATTCTCTCTCTTCCTAATTTTCTAGCTGCTCTTGTAATAATAGTTGAAGCTAATTCTTTCTTCATTTTTTCTTTTATTGGAACCCATTCTTCTTCTTCTTCTTTTTCAATAAATTCTGTTGGTGAAATATCAGTAGCTAAAAAGAATGCTTTTTTTTTATTAATTTTATTATACATTAAGAATTGTGCAAACATTAGTGCTGTCCAATTTCTATAATCCATTAAATATTTGTATTGAATCCTTTCAAGTCGTTTCTTACTTTCTTCCTTTTTATCTCCTTTTTTTTCTTTTATCGTTCGTTCATTTATCGCTGCTAGTATTTTCTTTTTTTGTTCTTCACTCAGTTTTAAATCAAATTCATCAAAATGTTTCGCTATAGCTATCAAATCATTCACAGTAGAAACAGCAATCTCTTCTTTAGTTAGTTCTAATACAACTTGTTCATATTCTTCTCCTTCAAATATTCCCATTAAAAACTTTGCTAAGTTGTTCGTTTCCATCACCAAACCTATCAACTGAAATCTTAAAATTTCTTTATTTGAAAATAAAAATTAAAATAAAAAAATTAAAATAAAAATTAAAAAAATTGTGTCAAACCATTCAAAACAAAATAATAAAACTGGATAGTAAAAATATAGTTTTTATTTTCTTAAACAAAAAGAAAGAACGAAATCGATGATTCAAGAAATAGAAATCTTAAAAAAAAGAAATCAAAAAGAGTGATGACAACAATCACTTCCTCAAAGATATGGAAACAACCAGAAATGAATAGTCATGAGAAAGGTAGTGAAGTCAATGAACCAGTAACAAAAAAATTAACAACAGGTTTTATTCATAACTATCAAAAATGCAATCCTCAAATTGATTTTAATAATTTTATTGTTCGTCGTATATTAACAGTTCCAAGCACTCCATTATCAGACAACCAAAATGATAATGAATGTTATGACTTAATTGTTAGAGTAGATGATATTTTAGGTGCTGATTTTTCTAAGTCGTTTGTTTTTCACCAAACACATATACTAACTTATTAAAATTAATATTCTAGAGAATTAAATGGATTAAAAAAAAATAGTCAATATCGAGTCATTGGGTTATTAGGACAAGGTTCTTTTGGTGAAGTGTTTCGGTGTTTAGATTTACAAACTAATCAATTAGTCGCAGTAAAAATTTTAAAAAATCAATTAGTTTATCTAAGACAAGGAATGTTAGAATTAGCAATATTAACATTATTAAATGGTTATTACGATCCAATTGGAGAATTTCATACAATAAGAATGATGGATCATTTTATGTTTAAAAGTCATTTATGTATTGTTTTCGAATTGTTATCAATTAATCTATATGATGCATTAAAAATGAATGATTATAAAGGACTTCCATATAATTTCAACCAATCGGTTTGTAAACAATTAGTTTGTTCTCTTCAATTGTTAAGAGAAAATGGAATAATTCATTGTGATATTAAACCAGAGAATATTATGTTATTAGCTTCATCTTCAAAAATTCGTTTAATAGACTTTGGTTCAGCATGTTTCCAAGATAGTCCATTATATACTTACATTCAATCTCGTCATTATAGATCTCCAGAAATTATTATTGGATTACCATATTCACCAGCAATCGATATGTGGTCATTTGGTTGTGTTGTTGCTGAATTATTCCTTGGGATTCCTTTGTTTGCTGGAAGTAGTGAACATAACCAATTAAGTAAAATTATTCAATTAATTGGAATGCCAAGTACGACACTATTAAAAAAAGGAAGTCGAACTGATGAATTCTTTTGGAGAAGAAGGCCATCTCCAAAAATTGTTCAACACGAAAATGGTGAGGTAAGTGCTGTAGAGACATGTGAAGATGAGTACTTTGTATTGAAAACACGATATGAATATGAAAAGTCTATGAACACACACATCATAGCAAATAAAAATTATTTCAATGAAACTACCTTAGAAGGAGTTATTAAAAGTTGTATGAGTGATGTTGAAATGAATGAAGAAGAAGCTGATGTATTGATTGATTTTTTGAAAAAAATCTTTGTATATGATCCAAATGAACGAATGACTCCAACAGAGGCATTAAGTCATCCATTTATTAAGAATATTGATATAAATAATTCTATAAAAGAAACAAAAGAAATAAAAGAAATAGAACGTATTCGATGTGTTAAATTAACTGGAGAAGAAGCAAAAGAAATAGTATTCCTTAATAAACATGATAACATAGAAATTTATGATGCAGAAAATTATTATCGAACTTATATAACTGCATTACAACATGGAATTGTATTAAATATATTAGACCCTAACCCTTTCTCATTACCCACATTAGCAGTATTTCATCCACAACTTGGGTTTGCTATTTTACTTCATAAAAATAATGTTAGTAAAAATGAAGGTGAATTTGTTCCATTACCATTTAATAAATCTAAACGTGTTGCTGTTGAACAAAAGGAAGAAAAAACACCTATAATGACATTTTTCGATGGCAGTACAGTTGTTACTGCAACTCCTGTTTATAATGAACAGATGATGTCATTGTATGAAGAAGCTCAAAAATCAACTGATGACTATATGTTAACTTATAATTTTGACAGTATGTATAATTAAAGTGAAAGTGTTTATATTCTTACTTAACCAGTTTTATGCTTTTATCTATTTTCTTATTATTTCTTTTTTTTATTCTCATTATTAATATCTACTTCTTATCTTTTTTGTTTTTATTTATTTGTTTTAGTTTGGTTCTTTTGTTTCTTCTCTTTATAATTGGATACTTTTAATTTTAATTCTTTTATGATTTGTTCTATCCATTTTTGAATGACTCTGAGAGTAAGATTTCTTGTTTATTATCTGAACTTATTTTATTCAAATTTTCTGATTAAGGACTTTATTTTTTAGTTTCATTTTTTAATGAAATAAGAAACTATTGAAAATAATCTCATATGATTAAAATAAGTTTACAAACGCTAAGTCTTTTAGATTAATACATAACTCTTAAAAGTTATTTATGGCGTATACCTTTTTGTTATGGATAAGTCAAGCACTTTCAAAAATTTCATTTCACATATGATTACATGATTATTAAAAATATGGAAAAGTTGATAAAATAAATTGTTATAGATAACAAGTCCATTTTATTGTTAAACTGAAGAAAAAGAAGTAAATATAAAATAAAAGAATTTAGTATCAAAAGTCCACAACTATAATAAACCAACCTTGGTATTTCATTTAGTTTATTTCATTATCTATTTTATTTTCTTTAATCACTTGACCATTGTTCTTTCTTGTTTTGGTTTTATTATATTATTTAATCTTTTGTGATAATGTTATTTATTCAATAAGTATATTAATATGTTTAAAATCTTTAATAATTGAAAAACTTATATTAAGACTCACTAATTTGTTCTGATTATTGTTTACATATAGAGAATGATCCTCTGTTAATAAGTCTAAATTCATTAGTTGTTCTTTTTCATTTATTGTTCTTATGTTTATTAGGTTTTTGCTATAGTATTTAAATTACTCATTAATAATCTTTATTATTGTTTAGGTTAATATATTTCTAGAGTCTATTTTTTAAGTTTTTACATTCCTCTTAGAAATGCTAATTGTAATGGGTATCTTTCTTTCTTGTGACTTTAATAGTAATGTGATTCTGAAAAAAGTAAAGAAATCTTTTAGTTAACAGAAATTAATGAACAGACGGAGAATTTTCAAATAATAAACCAACTGTATTTTTTTCGTGAGTGTTAGTCTGTGAGAGTCATTAATCTGAGTCCAAGAGATATTGAACAAGTTTATATTAACGATAGTTTTATTTCAAGACGAAGAAAATTATAAAAGGTTATCTAAAATAATTCTAAAAAGAAATGGTTATCCAAATAGAAAATAAACTAATAACAAATAGTTTATTTTTTGTATAAAAAACACAAAAATCTATAAAAATAATATGAATATCATAAAATTACTTGAACAACAAATTGGGAACTATGTTAAACATTTTCAAGAGAAAAGGATTAGACAAGTAGGTACTAAATTTGTACAAAAAAGAAGAATTGGAGAAGGTGTAGGTGGGTGTGATTCATGTGGATTTATAAATGACAGTGTTTTTTATGGAAAAGGAAAACAATTGTCTATTATTGGTAATGGAAGAATTGAACAATATGAAGTTGGAAGTAGTGTTAGACAATGCATCAAAACTGATGATGGGGTTGTTGTTATATTAAATGAAAAAATTGAATTTAAAGGAACTTTTGAATATGTCATTGATGGATTATTTGAATGTATTGCCACAGATGGAATGACTATTCTTGTTGGAAATGTTAAAGGGATGTTTTGTTTTAATAGGAATAGTCATAGTCTTGATATTGTTCGTTATGGTCATTATTTAAGTATTGTTGTTGATAAAAGTAGAAGGAAAGTTTTTGGGTTAAAAGAGCGTTGTGTTGATATATTTAATATTAAAGAAATGGTGGTTTTGTTTGAAAGAAGTGTTTCATTACCACAAATTGGATTAAGTATAAATTATGCAGAATATCCAATGCTGTTTGGAGTTACATTGGATAATGGAGAACGAAGGGTTTATTTTGATAATGGGTCAAATGACAGTATCACTTTTTACCAAATGGTTGATTATCCTAATAGTTCATGGTGCTTTGGTTTATGTTCCTTACAATATACTATAGAAGATGATAAATTTGTTATTTTTATTGGAAACATGAAAATTAAAGAAGACCAAGTTATTGAAGAAATAGACCCTACAATAAAACTAAATCAACCTGTTGATGTGCAGTGTCAAATTAAAAAAAATTTCATTGGAAATGAAATTATATTAAAAATAATTACGATTAATGAAATTGTGGAGTTAACTTGGACTTGCCCATCAGTATTTTTACCACAACAGTACTTATCTTATTTGACCACACAACAACCTATTCAAAATGAAGTTATTACTCTTTTTAATTCTGAGCCTAATGTAATTCAAATAACAATGAATTTATTATTTCATATTCTTCCCAACTTTCATTTGTCAATGAGTGTTCTTATTAATTATCCACCAGAAGATATTAAAAGAATATATGAGGCACTAGAAATTATATCAAACGTATTAAAATTATATGAAAATCATTCTGTTGTATTACAAGAAATGAGTGAACAAAAATTAATACATTTAAAACAAGAGTTGATAAATTTCATTCAAAGAATTTCTGAAGCACTTCATTTAATTTTTAATTATTCATTACTTGTAGATCCTCGTTTATTACAACAAGACGTCATTGAATTAACATTAGATAAAATGATAACAGATTCAAGTTCAATTGAAAAAATACAAGACATGAACAATAATATTATGTCAGCTACAAATAATTTCAAATTAATACCTTCATTTTCAACTTGTGGTATGTATTTTAATTTGGTTAAATGTATGGAAAATGAATTTAAATATATATCTAATTTCTCTTGGAATGTTCAAAAAAAAATTTTTATAGAACTTATTCAATTGTCTGATGAAATTGGTAAATTGGTCGTTCATCTCCTTATCCAAAATAACAAGATTCAAGAATGTTTAACAATCGTTCATTGTTGTGATAACAATGAATTGTCTGAATATATGAATAAAGAAGTATTAAATTGTTCATGTAATTCGTTCTGGAATTTTTACAAAGTCCCAGTACAAGAATTACAATATCAATTACCTATTGATGAGGTACAACAATTAAAAAATAATGTCAATGCACTTGGAAATGAAAAAAATGAAATTAATTTCCATGAAAGAGAAAGACTTGTATTTGAATATTTATTCCAATTACAAGAACTTAAGAGCCAAATTAAAAATAATGAGCTTTGGATAGAGTTACAACAGTCTTTAACAGAAATAGGTAATAGAATTTCACTACAAAAAGAATTAATAAAAGCTGGTGTGATTGATGAATCATCGAGTAAATACTTGATTTCATCAACATATCTTAATTATATCAAAAACCATAAATAAGTTCTACTTGATTTCTTTTATTTAGATTTCATGTTATTGAAAAGTAACTCTATAAATGAAAAAAACAAACACTTTCTTATTTAAACTCTTTTGAAATAATTTACTTAATTACATAAAATTGCTAAACGAAATCTAGTTACATTATATCAATGAGACTTCCAACTTAAATAAAACAATGTTATTATTGAAAATATTATAAACTATTTGATTGGCCTTTAAAAATGAAAAACTAAGTAAACGAACTAATCAATTAAAAAAGGAAGAAAAGAACAATAATAATGAAAGAAACAATAGTACTAACAGAACCATCAATAATACACTCATCCTCGCATTGATGTATTGAATATATGATAGGTTTGTTTTTATCAGATGGAACTAAAGTTGGTGAACACATTCCACATTTGATCATACTTGTTCCAAAGTTTGCTTCTTGAGTACAGTTTTCATCAAGGAAATCGAATGTACCGTAGTAACCAACTTTATTTTGTGTTTTATAATAGAAATTAGTTTTAGAATATCGTTGACATTCATTATTTTTTGGGATATTACAAGTATATGAAACTAATTCAGAAATTTTAATAGTACATTTGTCATCTTCGTATTCATTATTAGTTATAAGGCTACATTCAGTTTTCATATTATCAGGTTCCTCATTGTAAAGATAGTATCTTTTAGTACTACTAGTATTAATATCTTTTTTTGCAGTAATAGGCAAATCTTCAGGCTGGATATCTGCATCTCCACAATCTTTTACTAGATAAGTATATTGTTCAATCTTTGCAGCACTAGATTCTGTTGCAACTACATAAACATACTTCTGAGATGTTGATGCACTAATTTTATAACATTTTTTATCTTCATATACATCAATATTTGATAATTTACCATCAGCATAAGAAACACTGTAAATATTTTCCGCAGTTGTAACTGAAATTGTAAGAGCTACCAATAAAATGAACATAAAGTTGAATAGACTGTTTTACAGTTCTAGTGTTTATATACACTATCCACGTAAATTAGAATTTTATCTTGAATAGAAAAGATATACGAAGTTATCCATTCAACCTTAATTTAGATTCATAGAGTTAATTTGTCAAAAAACAACTTGAATATTTTCTTCTTTACTTCTTATTGGTTCTCTAAGCCATGCTTCCATAAAGTTAAAACAACTTTTTTGCGAATTCCCTTCAAAGCTCTTGAGAGTAAACGAATAAATAGAATCTATTTTAACTTAGCTACCTTGAGAAACAATAAATTGAAGTAAGACTTCAAAATTCTGAAAAGATAATACTTCCATAAACTAAAACAATCATAATTAATTATTAATATAATTAGTAATTCTTAATAAAAGAGAAACCACCGCTCAAAATAAACTATTTAAACTCGATGAATAAAACTCAAAACATTAAAATGATTGTTTTATTGCTTGCATTCACTACCTGGGCTTATGCTAAAAACTTTTACCAATACACATATGATCAAACAGATAAAAAAACAATTATTGGTTATTCAATTTATGAAACTGATAAATGTTATAGAATCTCTTTAAGTAATTATCAACAAATTTCACAAAAGAATGGGGAAAAAACAGCCGAACAAGGAAAGTACTTCTTCAATATATTCAAAGATAAAAATTGTACAAAACTAGAAGATAGTGAAAGTGAAGTTCAACCATACACTATTGAACAATTAAAAAATTATAATATCTTTGAGAAAGCACCAGCTGAAACTAACAAATGTCAAGAAATTACTGTTGAACAATTTGGTGATAAAGAATGTACTGAACCAATTCCTGGTACCAAACAATTTGTTTGTAATACTCAGACTGATGTTCAATCTTGTACTGCTTTTGGTAAATTCTATACAAAAGTATCTACTGTTCATGGATATCAAGGTACTTTCTATTATTCTGATCCTGATTGTAAAACATTCACTGGCCTTGTTACTGGTCAAAGAAAATGTAATGTTTGTACAGCTTCATCACCAAGTAATGAGGAAATGATTTATAAGAAAGTAAGATGTGATAATGACTGCTAATTAAGTATTTTTTAAAGAATTTAGTTTGAGAAGATAAAAGTTTTAATGAAGAAAGGTGAGAAGGAAGAGGGATTGATAAAGAATAAGGGAAGAAGAAAGAAAACAAGGGAAGAGTTTCAAGAAAGGAAAGAATGGGAAAAATTTTAAGAAAGAAAAAACAAAAAAAGAAAACCTATAGAAGGAAGTAGAAGATTGAACTGAAAAGCAAAATAGACAATATGTCACAGTGTTATCGTGTGGGACAATTCATCATTGGAAAAAAACTTGGAGAAGGGATGTGTGGAAAAGTATATCTTGCATTTCATGAAAAAACAGGAGTTAAAGTAGCTATTAAAATAGTAGATAAAACAAAATTAATGAGAAAACCAGAAATGAAAAGGAAAGTTTGAGAATTATTTTTGATTAAGTTAATTTGAAATAAGAAATCACCAAAAATTTATGGATTAAAAAGAAATTAAACATGAATAATAAAAGGTGAAAAAAAAATAGAAGAGTTTTAAAAGATAAATAGAAAATTAACAAAGATAGGTAGAACGAGAAATAGCATTTTTAAAAATAATAAATCATAGAAATGTTATGCAATTATATACTGTATATGAAACAACACGATATCTTTTCTTAGTAATGGAATTACTTGAAGGAGGAGAATTATTTGATTATATAATTTCAAAAGGGAGATTAGAAATAGAAGAAGTATTAGTTTATTTTCAACAATTAATATTTGCAGTAGAACATTTTCATTCAAGACATATATGGTTTGTTATTTAAAATAAAAAAAAAGATAAAAATAATAAAAAATATAGTCATCATGATTTAAAACCAGAGAATTTACTTTTAACAAAAGATCTTCAAAGGATTAAAGTATGTGATTTTGGAATGTCATCATATTGTGGAAATAATAAACTTCGAGAATATTGTGGAAGTCCACATTATACAGCACCAGAAGTATGTAAGAAAGAAGCATATGATGGATTAATTTCAGATATATGGTCATGTGGAGTTATTCTTTATGTTATGACATTTGGATTAATGCCATTTGATGGAGAAACATTAGAAGAATTAATAGAAAAAGTAATAATAGGGAAATTTGAATATCCAGAAGATATTGAAGTTTCAGAAGAAGTTAAAGATTTAATTAATAGAATGCTTAAAATTAATCCAAAAGAAAGAATTACAATAAAAGAAATTAAAGAACATAAATTTTTTCAAAGTAATAAACCAAATATAGAAAATGTACCATCAATAATTGAAGAAGCAGGAGAACCAATTAAAAATATTGATAGTAATATTATGGCAATTTTATGTTATTTATTAAATAATGTACATATTACAGAAATAAGAGAAAATTTATTTGATCCAAAACCAAATACTATTCGAGCATTTTATAGATTATTAGAACAACATCGTAAAAATGCACAAGGAGATCCATTTGCATTTTCAAGAAATAGTCCAGGACCACAAAGTCTTAAAAATACGATTTTTGCTATTCCAGGAACATCACCAAGTGATATTTCATTTTCACCAGCATTTAATGATTTAGCAAATAGAATTAAAATAGAAATTCCACATGTAAAAACACCAAAAGCAGTACCATCACCAATGATAAATAATCAAGAAATAAATAATAGTTTAAGTATGGGACAATCACCAATAATGTTTAGTGTACCAAGAGAAGCTGAATGGGGATTTGTAGCAACAAATAATGTTTCAACAAAAGAAATATTAGAATTAGATTGTAGTGTTCAAATAGCAAGAAATAAAATTGAAAAAGCATTTAATGAATTAGGTATTAATTGGAAAAAAAGAGGAAAAATTTATGAATGTAATTATAAATATTTAGAAGAAGAAAATGTTAATGTAATGTTTGAAGTTAGTATTGAAGAAGGAGAAATTAATGAAATATCAGCAGGATTTGGAATTGTTACAACAATTAAATTTATTTACACACAAGGAGATATTGTTTCATTTAGTGATGTCTATAACTTAATAACTAAGTTAGTAACAGACGTAGATTATTAAAAGTTAAAAGATTAAATATACTTATGGTTCAAAAGAAATAATTTAAATCATCAAATCTTCATTTTATTATAAAATATAAATATTTTTTTTTTTTTTATTTTATAAAAAAATAATAAAATTAAATAAAACTAGAAAATAATAAAAAATATATAATAATTATTGAAATAATGTCAAAACAAAAACAATTTACAGAAAAAGGTATTCCTAAAGGAACTACACAAGTTAGTTTATCTGGTTTTTCATTTTTATTTGCAGAATATGTTAGAAGACAATTTAGAAAAGATAATAAACAAACAATAACTGAATTTCATGAAAAATTATTTGATTTAGGATTTAATATTGGAATGAGAATGTTAGAAGTTATTAATATTAGAGAAAGAGAAAATGAAAGAGATATAAATATGGATAATATTGTTGGATTTATTGCAAAAGATATGTGGAGAGTTATGTTTGGATATGGAGTTGATGTAGGAAGAGTAAAAGGAAAAACAAATGAATGTTTGTTAAAAAGTAGTTTTATTATAAATTTAAATGAAAAATCATAAATTGATTAAAATTAGTTTTAATTACTGATAAAAACTTAATTATCACAGAATTTATGAGTTATGGAAATGAAAAGAATATTTATTGTGTAGCTTATGTTGCTGGAATGGCACAAGCATGTATTGATGGTGCAGATTTTGTTTGTTTATTTTTTTTATATAAAAAATAAGAAAATTAAAAACTGAATAAATATAGAAAGGAAATGTAAATTATGGTGAAGATGAAGATGGTCCTTATCTTCATATTATATTTCAACAATAATCATTCACATTGATTTTTATTTTTCAACATTAATTATCTTTTTATTTTAAACATCATTTTATTTAATTTTTATTATGTAAAAAACTAAAATGTTTTAAAACTAATCACTTTAAATGAAATAACTTGTTTATTAAGAATATAAACTCATTTTTTTCACAAGAAGATAATAAATATTAAAATCTTTCCATTTAAAGAAATTAATATAAAAACATAACATTAACATATATGAATTCAATTGAAAACGATCTCAAAAATAAAATAGGAAGAGAAAGTTGATGTCAATTCATCAACCATCAAAAGAGAAAAACACCAGAAAATGTTAAAGAATAACCAGAGTAATTTACAAGCAACATTATTAACATTATTATCTAATTGGCGTTCTATCACCATTTCTAAATCACAGAAAATAGCAACAAAAACAGAACAATTTTTCAAAGTAAAATCGATTACCATTAATAGTGAAGAAATATTAATATATCAATTATTGAAGAATCTATCAAAAGAAATAAGAAATGTGATGGTAAATATTATAGGAATAACAGAAAAAACTAACACAACATAGATTGGAAACAATTGAAAGAACAGAAACACTTCATTTAATAGAAGATATACTATTAGAATTTGGGGGTAATAGTTTTTATCGAAAAAGAGGAAACAAGTGGGGTTAGTTGAGAGATTAATGTTAGAATAGGTGATATTATTTTTGATATTGAAAAGATTAATAAGATAGATATTAGAATTAGAAAATTTATTATTGAGAAAATGGGTAAAATGAAAAGTATTAGTATTGAAAGAGGAGAGTTAGTTCCATTTCTTTATGGTATATAAGAAATTTCTGTATTTTTATTTAAAGGGGGTACATTTCACATTTTCCTAGACGTTCTCCGATTTATGGTGTATTTTTAACATAATTTTTATTGTTATAAATTTTATTTAAAACACTTTATTAAATAATAGGGTGTTTGTTTTAGAATAATTAATTCATAGTATTTTAAACTTTAGGATTAGCTTTGATGAATAAAAATAAAATAAAGTTAAATGTTGTTACCAACTGAAAAAAAATGTTTTGAACGAAAAAAGAACATGAGAAGTTTTCTTTTTAGAAAGAGGAAGTATTAATCTTTTTAAATAATATTTTTTTCCAAACATTTAAAATCTTTAATCAAAATATCATTTTGGAATAATGATATAAAAATTAATGGTGTTTTCTTTGAAACATATGAAATCAAATAAAAATTTAAGGTTACACCAACAAAAAAATCAATACCAGTTATGAAATATAAATGATAGAAGAATGAGTGAAAATAGGTATATCTGTATTGATAGAAATGTTAAGATTATTGGAAAAGTTGTATCATTGATTTGTGTTTGATTTGTTTATCATTTCAATACATATGTTTTCACATTGAAAATTTAATATTATCTCATGCTTATTAAATATGTATTATAAATAAATAAAATTGAACTATTTGTTGATGTTATATAATGAGCTAAATATTGTATAATTATATTTTCTAATTCTTTGTATTAACTTCTTGTTTACTGTTTTAATTATTTTTTCTTTTACATAACTATTTAAATTTATTTCCTTTTCATCATATTATATTCTGTTATTATACTTGATATATTTTGTATTATTTGTACAATATTTATGATGTTTTGTATTTTTCATAGATTATCATTCTTGATCTAGTTATTATTTTTTTTCACGTACATTAATACTGAATATATTCGTTAAAGTTAGTATTTATTTTTATACTTTTAAAATAATCTAATTTTAATCATTTCAATGAATCTTTGTAATATCTGATAGTTTTTTATTTTTCTGTTTATTAAGATAATATTCATTTGTTTTATAGTCTTTTTCCATTTCTTTTTATTAATTCTTTCTAATTTATTTATTCTTTCTAAAATGATAATGTACTTTATTTTATTGGAAATTCTGTTATTTATTGTTTATAATTTTGTTTTCAATTATCTCATTTAATAATATATTCCAACTTTTTAGTATTAAATAAATATTCTTATTACCTCTTTCTTATGTTTCCATTTTATTTATATCAATACTCTTTTTTGTGTATTTAATTATTGTTATATAACAAATATTTGATTTATTTATTTTTGATATATTTTATCTTTAAATTTCCTTTTCTTTTATTGACACTTTGTTATATTATTTGTTTGGTTGTTGGAATTGAATATTTATAATTATCAATTTCATCTAATATATTAAGATAAATATTCATTGTTTATTTTACTTATTTATCATTCTTTGATTTTGATATTATTATATTGTAGATTTTGTCTTTTTTTTTTATCTATATTATTTATTTTTTAGATATATTTCTTTTTAATAATAAAAAGAAAAAGAAAAGAGAATAAAATTAATAAATAGAGAGAAAAAATAAAGAAATTAATTATTTTTTAATAACAAATGAAAAGTAAATTGATAGGATATATAAATAGATAATAAGTTATTTGAAGAATCTAATGTTTGATTGTGAAATGAATATCAATTGATATTTTATAGGATGATAGATGAATAAAAAATGAATAAGAAATAATATATGAGTTTTTGAAATAAATGATAAGAATATTTATATTGTGAATTTGTTAAAGAATTGATTAAGATAATCCCAGCCTTTAATCTATCTTTTCTTTTGAATTTCAAAATAATAAGAAAAGAGAAGAAGAAAAGAATTAATTTTTAGGAGAATGGAAAGGCTTATATAATTTAATATAAACGATAAGTAAAATAAGTCCTACAATGAATACACTTCCAAAAACCATCATTCCACCGATTTTCATTTCTGTTGAATATTCTATTTGTTAGTTCATATTGAACAGAAACACAAGAGAACAAACAAACCATAAACTTCATCTTCTTTACTCATTGTTTAAGTTCAATGTTCTTAGTTTTATCTTAAAATTCTTCT